AATCTCTTCTCTATCTTGCAGTGTCCCCATCTTCAATCTCTTCTCTACCATGGTTCTTCCCGCTGCCCACCAAATTGCTTAGGTTTTCCCACACTGAGAAGGTGACTTCCTCACATCCACGTTTCTCCGCTCCCTTCACTGTTAAACTAGAAGGAATGGTCCAGTCTCACTCATGGAGTCCTCCAGTCTCTTTGTCCTTCTGTGTTTACCATCAGGGGGATTACTAAATAGATTAGCTACAAGAAAGGGTAAGGAAGGCAATGCACACACAAGGTCGCCAATGGGCTTGTGGTTTCTCGGAAAAGTTCTGCCAAGTAGAAACATCTAGTTGACCTTTGGAAGGTGTGCATCCATTTCTAAGGAGAGAGACAGGGCTACACATACAGGTAGATGAATAAGAAAATGGCAGCGGCGGATGAGCTCAAGAGGCAGAAGAAATGAGGACTCAACTCAGAAGCCTAAAGAACAGCTCTGCTTTAAAACTAAGCAAAAGAAGAGGGGACGTTCAGAGGTAAGAGGGAGAGTAAGAGGAGAGTGCGGAGTGCTACAGAGGTGAGAGAGAGGTGACAGGTGAACTGCAGCCTTCCCTAGAGGGAGGTGGCAGAGGTTACCAATGAGTAGGAAGAGAGGCAAAGAGGGAAGCCAGGTGCAATGACAGGTGGGGCACATAGCTTGTGGGGAGTGAAGATGGGGAGGATGCTTGTCCCTTAGGAAAGCTCTCACGTGAGAGGGGGAGCAGGAAGGCTGGCTGAAGACAAAGACGTGAGGAAAGGTTATGGGGAGAGTCAAGGGCCCCCAGCCTTTCTTTCTACCAAAGTTCTGAGCAGGTTACAACTCAAGAAAAACAAGAAAAACGTTGAAAAATTGAAAATACAGATTCCAGAGGGAGACGGGGTGGGGACGGAGGGGGGAAGGGCAGAAAACAATAGATATGATTGTTCAGACAAAGCAACTTCTCTTTTATAATTATGTGTGAAATCTTTGAGAAAAAAGAATCTGGAGAATTCTATACAAAATGTTAAAAGTTATTTTTTTTCTGAGAGAAAGAATTAATAATGACCCACACCTTTTTATTTAAACGTGAGAGTATTTTCTGAAATAAAAATGAATTTCATAGTTCAAAAAAGGAAACAAAATTTGATTGCTTAAGAGAGCCAAGCAATTGCTGTAGGAAGGCTACAGACATCACAGAAGAGTGCCTGCAAGGCTCCGCCCTTTTTCTGAGTGGTCTTGGGATAAAGTTTTAATTTCTTTTCTTAAGCAGACAGCGTCACTCCATAACTACTGCTTTCAGCTCTGGTAGCGAGTGGTGCAGGATGGTGGCATAAACACGCTATTTTTTTTTATTGTATTGAGCATGCCTTCTACAATGTGACAGCATTTTGGTCCTACGTCCTTTCTCTAAGGTCCACGGTGTCAGCATAGCCACAGAGGACACTGCTGAGACAGCCAAAGAAATGATGAAAGGAGAAAACAGGAAACAGGAAGGACAGTCTTTACCAAATGGAAAGGTTGATACCTGTCAACTCTTCCTAGGTTGAAGTCCTGAGTGGGCAGGCTTCTTAAATAGACATGGAACAGTGGCTGTCAAACTCTTGATTTTTTTCATTCAAATTCAGGAAGGGAAAATGTCATTGTTACAGAGCCTGAGAGTAGAGGGTTAAATGTGGGATTAAAGTGTGTACATATGTGAGTGTGAGTATGTGTGTGTGTGTATGTGTGTATGTGTGTGTGTGTGTGTGTGAGAGAGAGAGAGAAAGAGAGAGAGAGAGAGAGAGAGAGAGAGAGAGAGAGAATGCGTACGTGCGCGTGTGTGCCTGTGCACTCATGCTGTGGTAAAACAGAGTATTCACAGGGCTCACTGTTTTACTTCTGGGCCTGACTTGCACAAGCAGGACACATGGCCCACAGACTCACTTCTGAAGGTATATTACCAAGTAAGAAGAGAATACATAGACATTAAATGTCTCGTGACACTTTAAAGTGCTTATGCATAAAATCATGAACAAGCCCAAATATTGAGTAGTCGTTCCCATTTTAAGGCCCAGTCTACCAGGGGAAATAGTCCTTAGGTGAGTGAGGTCATGGCCATGAGGCCGGGAGCTTTGACGGTGGCCTGGCAGACTGCTCTTTATGCTGGCTTTCATGATTTTCTTTTCTTTTTATCATCCCACTGTGAAGCCCCTGCTAGTCTAGAACTTGATATGTGGAACAGAATGGCCTCCAAGTCCTGGAGATCTTCCTGCCTCCTTGCCCAGGGTGCTGGGGATAAAGACATGCACCACCACTGGCCTGGCTTTTCCAGTGGCTCTCAGACAGACGGTATGAGAATAAATGGTCTAGATTCTACTACTAGCCTTTCCTGCTCCTTGCGTCCTCCGGTGCCAGTCCCAGCATTCCGGTGCCAGAGTAGGTGCCAGTCCCAGTGTCTGCAGTGCTTACTCTGAAGAACAATACATGCTCTCCCGCGTCTACATATTCTTTCAAGGTTTGTTTTTTAAAATCCTGCTGTGCAAAGCTATTTTTTTTCAGTAAAGGGTGAACTAAACCCTCAGGATTTTCTTCTCTCTAGCAAGTCATTGCATCGACTTGAAAACCAGAGAGCTTGCTGTACCTCCTAGCACTGAGTGCTGGAGACGGGCCCCTCCCTAGGATTAGACAGAAGGATTTCTGATCAAAGGGCTGGGATTTTTATAGTTCTCAGGCAAGAGCCACTGATCAAACAAATCTACTCTTGGAGACAAATCTATGTTTTGATAGACAGTGCAAATGGATGCTAATTACCGACCTCATTCTATATCCTTTAATCTTAGTGTCTCCCCACAAATGACAAGCAGCAAATGGCTTCACTGTGCTCTGGAATACATGGAAGTACGTGCCTCAGGACTGCAACCCTGCGCAGAGCTAGAACAGCCCATGACTTCCTAGAGACCACACTGGCTTTAAGGAACAGCACTTGGGTGTCCCAATGAGGCCAAGTAGGCAGCAAATGAAACTTAAATCTGAAATTTCAATTCTGTAAGAGTCAGCCAAATGCTACACGGCTTTAAAGCCAATAAAGAAGCCATTTCATAATTCTCCCTCACCCCACAAAACAAACAAAAACACACTCAAAGAAACAGCAAGCAAGACTAAAGTGCTTTTTACAGAACATTCTAGGTTCACTATTCTTTCATCTAGAAGGTTGTCTTCTCCACACACATCATGCTCCTTAGAAATTCTAACTACAATGGGTATACATGAAGACATTCTGTCCTTCTAAAGACATGAATGATTAAATATTACAATCTGTGCATCTGGCATGATATGTCCTTTGATGCTATTTCCAAGGGAAGAAGAAACAAAGTTCTCCATTTCCACACCTAACACACCTGGTCCTTTGTGGAAGACGGGAAGGGGTAGGAGAGTGGGTGTGGCATTCTGGATCCCCAATGGTAACTGAATCTTACTCTCCAACACTACCCCCTTCCCTCCCGGTTCAGCCCCACAGTCGTCGCAATTAAGAGAAGAGAAAGCTCTCCCCGTTGGTTGTTTGAAATATGAGAATAAAAACCACTGCAGCTACAATTAAGACACAGTGACCATGTCCTGCACCAACAGCCCCAATGACAATATTTATTCTCATATG